TACATCAAGGATGTTTAAATATTTTCGACATGAAACCCAAAATAAAACAGTAACAAAATTTTAGAACAAATTTAATTATATAATAATAACAGTAATAATATTTTTATAATTTATTATAATAATTTAGTAATTTAATACATATAAAAATATTTTTAAAAAACATACTTAAATAATCTACTAGATATTTATATTTTTTAATAAATATTTCCGCCTGGAATTTCCAGTCAAAATAATAATAATTTTAAAATTTCGTTGGAAAAAATTGCGCAACAATATTTGAGTAACTTTTTAAAAGCTTTTTTAATTATTAACTTGTAATGAACTTGTTTATCAGCATTGAAGTGGAAACTTGATGCGGAGCTCCAAATTTTATACGACTTATACCCTGTACTGAGTTTATATATGAAGGGAGATACTACATTTCTTTTGTTGAAATATTTGCAGCACTATGAAGAGGGTGAGGCCAACATAAATAATATATTAAAACTGAAGTGATGTTTGACGCACTCTCCTTAACCCCATTTAGTAATCCCCAACTGGATGAATAAAATAGAGAAGAGAGTCTGACCTGCGAGTCCGTCTGCTTGTATTAAGTTTGTAACTCCACTGCATCAAATTTATTTCACATCATTGATAAGTCTACTATTGCCATCATATTGTCTTAAATCGATATATGTAATTATAATATACCATCTGATCTGAATACATCAACTAATTTGACATCCAATTAATTGCAAATTTAGTGAAATTAATTTTATATCTATTTATATATATATATAATCAAATAGTAAAGCTTAAATATTTATATAAATACAAGTACAAAATTGTGAGCTTCAGCTCTGCAAGGACTGGCAAGGGTATCCGCTGGTCAAGCACTGCCGAGCAGAGAACTTTTACAACTTTTAGTTTTCACTAGACAATGAAAAACATTTCAACTACCAGATTCTATTTGAGTTCCTTAGTAATTATGCACATATTTAAACAAAACTAATGAATATTGTGCTGGAATATGCTGCACACGAGCTGTGCACAAAAGGCAATTGTTGCTGTGAGCAGTTCGTGTAAGCCCATAGAAATAGAACCGCTTTAAAAACATAAAGTTTTACTCGCAGCTACAAATTGTTCGCATTTGGCTGACGGTGCAAAGTTTGCGCCATTGCACAGCAGACGGAAACGCTGCGTATACGCAATATATCATATTTTATAGACTTTTAACGTGGCGCACTTCAAAGCGTTTGCCTTTTAGGTGACATTTTGCTAGCACATTTCTAGTAATTATTTTCTGCAATGCAGCAACCCAACCACAAAGGCGCCACGTTACCGCTGCCAGCAGTGTGGTGTGGCGGGGGAGGTGGTGCGACGGGTGGGAGAAACACAAAACAGACGCCGCAACGCATTTGTTGGCCATGTGCCAAAATGTGAAACTATGCGCATGTAAAATGCAATAAAAAGTGATAAATATAAGTGTATAAGCATCGGAGGTGCCGACATGTGGCCACGCCTCAAATGCCCCTAAGCAGCAGCAGCAGCAGCAGCAGCCACTCGACTAAATTGAAAGTGTCAAAGAGCCACAAACACACACACAGCTGAGCTGGCCTGTACGTGTGCTAATATATCATTGGGCCAAATAGTTGCGTGCCCGCATTCAAATTGTGTGAGCTTTAAATAAAATTTATTTGGCAGCTTGAGGCACGTTGCGACTGTCAGGCAGTCGAGCAGCCTCTGGCTAATCAGTTGACATTTTGAAGCGATTTTAATTTTAAGCCGCTGTCAAAGGTCACACCAAACAGTTAAACATACGAACACAGAGAGCGAGAGAGAGAGACAGTCAGACTGCCAGCCAGACAGAGTCACATATGCAGAACTTTTAAGGCCACGCAAAGAGTTCAAAAGGTCCTTTCGCTAGCGTGCGTGTTGCCCGGCCATTGCCATTGTTGGCAACGAGAGCTAATTGTTCAAGTTATTGTTATCAGCCATGAACAATCTAGCAATCCGTTTCATGTCCGCCGGGGTCAAGACATGCATATGTTTAATTCAATTAGGGACGTGATGATAATCACTCCTTGATACGTGCCCTTCCAAATCGCTGAGCAGAAAACTTTCGCAGCGATTGATTTATGTGTGTATGGAAAATGTTAACTTAACACTTGACAAATTTAGTTTTGCTAACGAAATGAATTCAAGTAAATAATTGAGTAGATTTCAATGGCTTAATCTAGCTGAATTTGGTATACATATATATATATTTTTTTTAGTTAGTTATTTAGCTTAAGTGGGGTCAACATTCTTCGACTGTTGCAGCAGAAGCTGTCAGCCTTATCGATGTAGACAAATTAGATGAGATTATCTCATGACTGTCGTCTCTTAGAGAACTGAATTTATTTATTTACGTTTTATATTCTCCTATTTCTCTCTCGTATTCGTTGAGCTTGTTCTTTGACATATTCCACCAACGTTCATCTTGATAAGGAAAGTCAGTGAGTCTGCTTGCGACTCTCTTAAATTGCAATCTTATTCGTGCTAGACATGAATAGTCTGCTTGTGTAATTAATTTTAGCTCTTTTATCATTAATTTTCATTTTTAATTTATTTAATTTCTTAGCACCTATTTAAGACTCTTAAACTTCCAAAATAAAGGCCGATTTCAGTGACAAAACCATATTTAACATATTAAAAAGTTTGCCATTAATTTTGCTTCTGCTCCTGTCCCGGCCTCAACGAAAGTTGAACAGAGAATTAGGCAGCGGCAATTTTTGGGCAAATCCGTACCCTTATCATTCTCGGGCGCTAAAGTTTGGCACCTACAAAAGTCGCATACGGCGCCACATTTATAACAGAAGGTTCTGTACACGACCTGAGCTGAAATTAATCCAGCTAAACAGGTAAATACACACAAAATGCGAACACCTACACACACACACATAGACAACGGCTGGTGCCCAAACCCAAAACCAAAACGAAACCAAAAACCAATCCCTGTCCCCAGACAAGCGCCATGTCAGCCGTGGGGCAAGTGGTTTGGCGTAATGCCCGCGAGTGCTTAAAGCGTTCATTATGCAGCTGTGGATTTATGAGTGGCTGTTTATGTACGCGAGCTTAACAGGTCTTGTGGCATGCCAATTGTCGTTGCACTTAGCGTGCTTAATGTGCAATGCGACTGTATTAATGAGTTTTTCAATTTGCATTGCAGCAACAGCACTCTGTACGACATGGCTCATGCCTAAGCTGGGCCACACACACGCACACACACAAGCAAGAGGGAGCATGTTGCATCTGAGGCTTTTCGATAGCTCGTTCTATTATACGCTGGCCTCCGTGTCGTCGGGCATGCTGCCACCCCCTCAGGCGACCAATGGCAGCCAGTTGACGCTGAATGGCACAACAGTCGCGGCGCCCGGTGTGGAGGCTGCAGTTAATCTGACATATTTTACACCTGCGAACTCACACGTGATGCTGGCGCCGACGCCAACGACCGCCAGTGCCGCCCAGACGACAGCGGCGACAATGGCAGCAGCAGCAACAACAGCAACAGAAACAGCAACGACAACAGCAGCAACAGCAGCAGCAGCAACAACATCGCCCGGCAGCGATTTCCAGGCAGCAGCAGCAGCAGCAGCCGGCGACAACGCGACGTCGCCATATGCGGGCGAATTGGACAACTTGAATTCGTTCTACTTTTACGAGGTGGGTAGCCAACAAATGTATATACATATATATATATATATATATATTAGAAATATCTTAGAGCTCCGGCTCTTGGCATTGTCTTCTGAGTCAGCTCATCTGCGCGGAGCGCACTCAACTAATTTATGCATTGAAAACCAGGACAAGCTGCAATAGGGCTGCCCAAAATCATTCTATATTAACTTTTTGTTTCATTCAATTGATTTGGCAAAGCAGCACTACGAGGGTGGGTCGAAAAGACTGAGTTAGATGATATATAAGACAGATATGTATATAACATATGTCATATTTTTACTTTATGCAGAATATAAAAATTTTAAAAATTAAATTTAAAAGTTTTCAATTCTTAAAATAAATGAATATTGAAAATATGTATATTATGGTTAAAAATTTTAATGTTAAATAACAGGCTTGGAACATCAAATATTTTTTTAGCACACGAAGAAACTCAAAGTATTACAAAGGAATTATTTCTTTATATTTAGTTATTTATTAATTATTCATGTGTAAAACTCAACTTTCGGTCTTTAAGCGGTGTTAAAAGTTTCGCATTGAGATGAAACCTAAATTATGTAAATAATATATACAAAAATAATAAAAAGTTAGTTATAACAAAGAAAAGAAAATAATAATAATAATAATAATAATAATAATAATAATAATAGTAATAATAATAATAATAATAACAATAAAATTCAAATAAAGCAATATAGCCATATAATAGTCTTCATTACAGAGCAGATAAAATATAATCAACATTCTGTCATACATAACCAAATGATTTTATTTATCTTATTTACTTTATTCATTTATTTTATTTTTCTTTCATTTATTTTTTTTTTTTTTTTATAAAACACTTCATAATCTCTCTTATGTTAACTTATATATTTATTTACTTTATATAAGCTTTTGTAGTTTTCAAGCCACCCTCGCATTTAGAATGCATGTGAATGACTTTGGCCACAAACTGCAAAGTTTTTTTATTCGCTTGCCGCAAAATCAAACTGAACTGAGCAGAGCAGAGCAGAGCAGAACATTGGCAGACAAAAGTCTTGGCGCTCTTGGCCGGGGTCACAGTCGGCAGCTGTTGCCATGTTTTTGTTTTGGTACAAATTTGAATTTTGCGCAAGTTGAAAGCGACTCGAAGTGCTCTCTGGGACAGAATGACAACGCACAATAATGAGGCAGACTGTTGGCAAATGTCATTTGTTTCGCAGCTGCAAATTAGAAATGAAATCGCAAGAGGAGCCACAGAGTGGGGGGGAGGGGTGGTTGCTCTCTCGGTTAATTTGCATGGCAGGCGGGCGTGGCTTATCAATTGGGCAATCAATCAGCGGTCGCAAGTCGTGACAACAACTTCGATTAAACTAAACTTCCGTTTTTTCTTGCCATTGCCATAAAAGCCGTACCGAGGGGCGGGGAGAGGCAAACGCCGCCAAGTGTGGCACGCATGCAACGTGTAATGAAATCTCCACACGCGCCATCGTATAAATCACGCCAACGAGCTGCCATTGTTAAAGCGGAAATAGCCTTAAACCCAAGACGTTTGTCCCCGCGCCCCACCCCGTCAACCAATCTTTGCTGCCAATCGCTCAAAGTGTGTGTGTGTGTGTGTATGTTTGCCATAAATTTGGATCTATTTAAATGAGCAGCACAAAAAGTAAGAAGCCAAATTCCAACACACACTCACACACACACATACTGCGAGCATATGGCTGACAAAGAGTAGAGCTAAGTCCTCCACCTTGCCCCGCGCGTCTGCCCGGCTAACAATGACAAAGTTGTAAAAAGCAAAGCAAAAAACAAAATCGAGCAAAAAAAAAGATGGAATCAAAGCAGGCGTAGGCTACAAATGCCAACAGCTTATTGATTCGAGTGCTATTTTTTATGTGCGCCCATCGGAGTATCCTTATAAAGAAAAGGATCGCAAGGGTAAGCATATAATTCATCTTCGTCTCGACTGGACGAAACATAACTTTGCCCCTTGCACAGATATTTGCGACATATTGACAGTCAAAATGTTTTACATATAAACCAAATATTTTTCTTTTTCTATTGGTTTAGGCAAATCAAGCAAATGGCTTCTCGACTTGACTCGTTGATAGATGTAATATCTGTTTGTTTAGAGCAGCCTTTTCCCTTATTTGCATTCGCTAAAAATAACAATATTGAAATTTATTTATTCCATGAACTAAGCCAGAGACAGCAAAAAATTTAAAGTAAATAATCCTTTTATTAATAAACCAGATGCCTAGACATCTCAGCATCGCAATTTCAGCTCTTTAGCCATGGCCATTCTCGACGGCTGAACGACAGGGATACGAAGGGCTTAGCTAACGGTGTCATATTTCAGTCCGGCTTAGCTGGGGCTGCTATGAAATTTGAATAGTTTCAATGTGAACTCGACTTGAACGTTGCGACGAATGCAAATAAATGACCAAACTAAATGAAATGAAATAAAGTGATTTATTATGCAGTGAAAGCATACGCAATTTGTCTAAATACTTAAGAGATTAACTAACTAAAGTAGAGAATGTAACATATTTAATATATTACGCATACGCCACGTGGACGAGCTTAAGATTGTGTAATCAATATATAATAAGTAAACACATACATGCTCATATATAAATACATCTCAAAAATCATACGCCACGTGAGCTCTGCTCAAATTTAAATAGCTTAAGCATTAGATGACAGCAATGCTGCAAAGTAAATCAAATGTTGATTAAATCAACAGAATAACCTGTGCAGAGCCATATAGAGTGTGGATGGCATTAAAGCTCGTCGACATGGAGTCCATGCTCACACATTGGCAAGGCCATGCCCCGGGGACTAATCTTGGCTCTGACACAGATATGCCAATTACAGCTGCATCACACTCTGCACGCGGCGCCCGAAAGGTTAGACAAAGTCAAATATGACAGCTCATGCCAAAGCGAGCAGCGAGCAGCCAATGCGGACGACCATGGCCAGCTCGAACGGATTGCAGTGTATCCAGTATCTGCGTCTATCCCAGCTCAAACCAGGAGCTTTGCCCCTTTGCTTGGGAGCTCGGCTGCTGGGCTGCTGGAATGGGCAGCAATTTCGTTTCATGTGCAAGCAGCTTTGCCTTTGCTAGTTGCTGGATTTTTCCACATGCTTTCAGGCATCCCCCCAATCGCACACACTCACACACACGCTCGCACGATTAGCCGGGAGCAAAAACAAAAACATTTCGCAATTTTATGTATGTTTGCTAGCAAAATCGAAGCATATTATGCAGCCGCACACGCAGCTACTCGCTTTGTTTGTCAGCTCAACTCCAGAAATGTGCTCCTCCAGCTACTTTGCCAGCTCATATCCGTTCTATTTGCTATAGCTGCACGACCACACACGTCATTCCCATTTCCTTGGCTTGGCTTTAAACATTAAATTCCAGCAATTTGGCCCTTTGTTTCATTCACTCAGACAAAATTGTCCGCTGTCCGCCGTCCGCCGTCCGCTATCGGGTGGCCAAGGACTCAAAGCCGTCTGACATGTGGGTGAGTGAGTGGCGCTAATGACCCTGGTAGCCGTTACTCAATATACCTTGAGCCTGCTGAACCTTCTCGACGTCACCCGTCGCTCGTCTCAAGGCCTCTTAGCACTTGTTTTTCATAATCCACACTTACTTTATTTTTAGCCCAGCCCAGCGATGACGTCCTGTCGCGCTGTGTATGAGTGCTTATTATATATGATTATTATATATTGTATATTTATTTATAAGCATTCAATAGCTACAACAATAGCGACCTTCGGCCCATGTGGCCATCAAAAGGCAACATTAATTGAAGACTTTGTCAGGCATCGCGCACAATAGGAAATGTATGAGATTTCACCAAATGTTTACTTGATAATACAGCGCCCTACTCTAAGCCAAGTTAGATTTTGTAAGGCTTTAGTTTTAGCCGTTTGCACAAAATTGACAATGTTAAAAAGTATTTTTTATTTTTATTCTTTTCTTGGCATACAATTTATGCTTTTATAGTGAATGTTCAAACTTGAGAATTTTATTTCAATTTTTTATTGTTATAATTTAGCTTTTTTTACATGAAAACTGTATATTATTTTAACTAAAGACTTTTTTAGTTTTTTATACAAACTGTAAGAACTTGATTTTATTTTCTGTCTATAGTAAATAGCAAATCTTAGATATTGTACATTCATTTCTTTTATTTTATCAGAATACGTTTCAACTTTTTATAGAAAACTAAATTTTTTATGTAGAGCTTAGCTTCTTATTGAAAGAAATTGTTTTAATTATTTATCTCTATGTACAGTTTTAGCTTTTCATATATTAGGTCTAGAAAATATTATTTTTCTTTTTAATCTTTCATCAAAAAAAAAAAATGTTTAACTGTCTTTAAAAAATGTAAAGACTTAAACATTTTAATTATTTTTTTATTCTTTAATCAAAATGTTTAATTTATATTTATTTATCAGAGCACCGTTGAAGCTGTTTCTAGAAAATATAAAATTTTTTTAATTCCATCTTTTTTTTATATTTTTTAGCTTTTTATAACAAAATGTGAAAGCTTGAAATTCTTATATTTCATTTTATTTTTAAACAGAAAGCAGTTTTAGCGGTTTACAGAAAACGTAAACTCTTACAAATTCCATCTTCAATTTTATTGTTTCTTCAGAATTTATAAATCGAACTTGAAATTGTATTCCAAAGAATTTGTTGTGTGTTCATATATATCACTATATGTATATCACATGTCTGTTAAAGCTGATCCTATATAGAGTCATTCACCGATAAGACCTGCTGCCAGTTAGCGTTAATCTAGCAAGAAAATGTGTTCTAAGCTCGCTTGTCAAGCACAATTAAGCATGCATATAAAGCATAGCTGAAAACGCAAATGTAAATTATATATGAGAATTAGACTTGAACGTCTGCATGCGAGTTATACATATATATATATATAGAGAGAGAGAGTGAGAAAGATATATGTATGTGTATGCTCGACATTTATCACGTGTCTCGACGACGACTCAGCGTCTGAAGGTTAAACGCTTAGCGGTCACAAAGCGACATCATTAACCAAGGGCTGTGAGTTGGTTCGATTGCTGAGCCAGTGGGACGTTGGTGTTCCCTCTTTTAACAATTTAATTTGCCACAAGTCGACACTGGCAATGGTCAGCGGCAATGGCGGGGAAATTCGTGTGCGTGTGGAGCTTCAAGCGGTTTCTGCACAAGGCCAGGCGAGACGAGGCTTCACTTGAATTGTTTATTGTGTGTGTGTGCGAATTTGGCCAAGAGATAGACATGGATGATTGAGGCGATGGCGTGGCAATAATTACACTTGCAGTGCTTTAACACGAATTAAAGCATGGCTGAAGAGGCCAGGCGGAGACGTGCATAGTTGGCTTTTAATTGCGTTTGACAAAACAGAAGAAATCGACTCGAGCACATCGAAGCACAGTGAAGTGGCCCGTGTGGATGCTGAAAGCTGACAATGTGGCCCATGGGAGGCACTGGCAAACGAAAAAATGAGCTAACAACATTATGTGCTCTTAGCCAAGTTAATAAATGAACGCAGCATCAATGCTAGCAACATGCAATGTCACAGGCCGCAGGGTTCAGTCCGCCATAAAATACGTTTTGACAAGACTTTTATCTGGCACGTCGCCCGCTCTATGTGTATATGTGTGTGTATGTGTGTGAGAGAGAGAGGGGCGATTTATAAAGCTTAGGATTTGCTGCCATCAGGCTGTATTCGTGTCCAGCTCTGCTCGTCAATTCTGCGGTCGCTGTGTGTGCTCTCGATTATTTCGCTATGATTGTACCAGAGCCTTATGAAATATTATTATTATTGTTAGACAGTTAAATATATATACTCTCTCTATCTCTCTGTCTCTCCCTCTCTTTCTCAATGTCAATGCACTTCCGTGTGTGGCTGTGCTTTAATGCTGACTCCAATGTCTATTGACTTTTCAGCATCACTGACTTCTGGCAGCTCATTAACTGTGCATTAGCACCGACATTCCTTCGTTACATAGTTCAATGCTCAAACCGGGCCCGGTTCAATGTGCTGGGGCGAGCTGGCTCTATCTAATTTGTATTTGACACTTTTTTTAGCAGTAGTCGAGCAGGGCGGCATTCCTCAAGTTTTCAAGTGTCACTTGGCCCACAAAAATCAATAGACGAAACGACTTTTCCAGCTAATTGCAATAATTTGTGTCTTGATGCCTGTGGCATCTATCAGCTCAGCTCTCAGCCAGCTAGACCCCTCATCACGTAAAGGATTTATTGTCGAACTTTACGACAGACAAACAAAAACAACAACAACAACGATCAGAACTTTAAGCACAAGCATGAGCAAAAGTGTTAATTTCACAAATATATTTCTATGGACGACTTGGATCGGAGCAAATGGCTATTAAAGTTAATTGTTCGTATATTTGTCACGCTTGAACTTTGAACCCGATGTTTATGTTTGGCTAATGTGCTCAATTAAAAGGGGTTGCAAACTTTGCCAGCAACCCCTCGATGCTCACTTAAAGCAGCAATTGATTGTGCGTAACAAGCTGTGACAGAGCTACTCTACATTAAAGGATACTCAAATTAACTGTATTTAGTGTGAGATGCCAGTTCACTTTACCTAATGCGACAATCGATTAAATGAGCCATCGTTAAATCACAGCTTTAATTTCAATTTACTACAATTTATGTAGGTTATTTTTAAATGTAATTAAAATTTGAAACATGTTTGCACTCGCTGAACAAAGAATGAGCCGCCAAAGCCCTGGAAACACATGAAACCACAAGAGTTGCAGCTCATCCAAACGCTTTAACGAGAATGTATTATGTTTCTTTGAGCCAAGGCTGGGGACGTGACGTGGAGTGTGGTAGGCGACTGAAAGGCGCAACTTTGTGTGTCGAGCGAAACAGTCAAAAGTTGGAGCTCCCGCTCTCCTCATACATGCATAGACTCAACTTAAAGGCAGCAAAAAAAACTTGTAGTTTGCATAAGTTCAATGGAAAAAAAGAAAAGACAAAAAAAAAAGGATGAGAAACATGCAAGTCTAGCTCAAAGAAATTCTTTTCCGCCAGCAAATGAGACGCTCGGGCACTTGATTGAGGATTAAAGGCAAAAGCAAATCCATTTTCAGGAATGCGAGCGGCAGGCAGGCGCTTAATAGCTCCAAGTGGCATTAAAGGCGATCTATAAAAAAAACACATAAAAATCAAAGAAGTAAACAAATTAAAGCTAAATCCGAAACAGCGTAATATGATTTTATTGTCTAGCAATAAAAGCTCTTGTGCAATCTGCAAATAAACTTTAGTCCAACTTTTCAGTTTGGAGTAAATCATGCGGCCCTTTGCTATAAATAATCAGGACTCTGCCCACGACCATTTGGCCAGGCGCTGGCCACGCCCCAGTCGTGTCGGCACATAATTTGTGGAATAAAATACTCGAACATGGCCAAAT